CCTATTTTTCATCTACAACAAAATAATCACCCAAATTTTTTTGTACTAGTGATTTTACCTTCAATATTTCTAATACATGACCAACCTTCATTATATTGTCAACCTCTTTTGAATATTCACCTTCCTGGCCTAAAAAGAATCGCATTAATTTGTCAAGTGATTCTGTTGCCTCTTTAATTGATACTGGCGGGGGTTCTGAGCTCCCATGTTCATCCTCTGTTGCTATATCTCTTTCCACATTTTCTCTCTCTCTGCAAAAAAGCTCAACAATATCTTCATCTGTTAACTGTTCATCAACAACATTTTCATTTTCTGGGTTTAAAAAATCATTGACTTTCAGGGATGCTGATAGCATAATAATTGTAAATCTCGGTTTATCGCTCTTATGACTTCATGCTCATCTTCAATATTATCGCTTTCTACCTCTGGTACTACATCTTCATCTCAGATTTTGACATGTCGGAAACAATTGGTAATTGTCATAGCTGTTACGTCCTCTTGCCACGATTCTTGAATATAAATAAACAAGATTGCCTTTAGAATTGATAGTTTACCTGATGTCACCTCGTTTTCAAACTGTTCCAACAAATAATGCACAAACTTCCTCTGATAATGCGCCTTGAAAGATGCAATTATCCCTGCATCACAAGGCTGTAATCGTGATGTTGTGTTTGGTGGTAAAAATTTGACAGTTGTATTATTTAATAATACACCAGTAACTACATGGCTTGGAGCATTGTCAAGAAGAAGGAGGACTTGCCGGCCTTGCATTTGTTGATCAAAATAATGTAACCATTCCTGAAAAAGAATAGCTGTCATCCAAGCCTTTTTATTATTGCGATACATTACTCCAAGGTTTTCAAGCTTGATATTCTTAAAACAGTGGGGTTTCGCATGTTTACCAATGACAAGTGGCTTTAACTTATGTGAACCGTCACCATTACAACACAAAGCCACTGATAATCTCTCCTTATTTTTCTTTTTACCTGCCAATCGCTGAGTTGCCAATGTCATATCAGGTTCCATCCGAAAAAACAGTCCCATTTCATCCATGTTATATATGTCCTTCCATGCGTAATTGTTGGTCAGCTGCTTAAGGTCAGCAATGGATTCTCCGATCACCAGTTCATTCACAGAACCACTCTCACCATGTGTTCTAATCCACTTTAAATTGTGCCGTTTTTTAAACCGACTAAGCCAGCCATTCGAAAATGCAATTTCATCCATATTCGTATCAAAATGATTTGCAAAAAAACGTGCCTTTTCTACTAATAATTTATCTGTTAGTGGTATTTGGCCTTGAGCTCGCAGACACCATTCCAGTAGCGCTTCCTCAAGGTCAGGAAATTTTACAGTTCGGGCACGTTTCTGAAGAGGTTTATGCAATTCATCTATATCCAAGAACTCACTTGAACGTTTTAGCAATCGAGATATCATTGCTTGATCGACTTTCACTTTTAACGTCTGTTTACACCATTCAACAAGATCTTTTTCGGTGATATTTGGATTGGCCTGCTTTTTCAAGCAAATTTCACGTCTTTGTATATTCGTTAAGGTTGTTTTTGTCATGAAAAAAAAATTTTTTTATTATCGTTTGCAAGAGAATTTCATTGTAAATATTTATCGGCAAATAAACATCCAATCAATTGTCTTTCCTTCATATCATGTGACTATCCTCCAAATGCATAACCCCTTGTAATGCATAAAATTTCTACGGTCTCGACAGTATGCATTTAGAGGAGTCTCACTGTAATATATTAATCTGGCGTATTGATTGATAATCAAGTGGGTGATGAGGTTAGCCGTTTTCACACCATTACAGATCTTATCACATGATCTCCACTTTCATATAGGGTGACCCTTATTCATGGTGGGCTCTTATTCATGAGAGTTTACGGTAGTTTCTATATTAATTTTTTTATATAAAGATAATTCATATTCACCACACCTGGTATAATAAAGATAACATTAAAATTAACAGGTCCATAAGTTATTAACAATAGTAGTTAAAGATATTTAGACAGTTAAATTTTTATAACAAAAACGTAATTAAGTTATAAAAGCAGGTTTTATAGATTTTTATTCAGATTATCAAATATCTTTTACAACAATTATAGTAAAATCTATTATAGGTTATCGCGGCCCCGTAATTGGTCTCTGCTATTTAACATTTACAGCACACGGGCTTATGATATCCACCTCCGCGTGTGAAATGTTTTCTAGTTCCATAATAGTTACTGGTGTTTATTCGACAGGTTAATGTATTTGCAAAAGTTGGTTATTCTGACGCTGATTGTTTTACTAGCAATCACCTGATTCTGATGTCGCGAAGATATGCTTATCGTTGTATTAACAGCTTAAATTGGGCTTTAGCGAGCACCTCGTTGTGAATAAAAGTTCCTCGCGATAGTCATCGTTGTATTCAAGAAAACTAACAGCGTGCGGACAAATCAAATTACACTCTTGAAAAAGACAAAACGTCTAATGTCATAGAATTAAAAATTAAACTAAGTAAAAGACATCAAAATTTAATTGTGGATACTGTACGGAAATGAGTTTGGGGTTACAACGTACGTGCAAATTGTTTAATTTTAAAAGTCAAAGTTTAATGCAAAACCGCTTTGACTGATTTTACAAAATTTGTTAGGAGTTTAGTTATACAACCTTTAGCTTTTGGTATCGCAATTACTTTATTTTTATATTTAAAATAAAATTTTGAAATAAAATCTTTTCCCGCTCTTTGGTGTTGTCTTTTCTAATGCCGTGTTGCAAGTTTGTCCCCACAATGTTCGATATGACTAGGGTTAATTAATGGCAGTTGTTTGCGCTTCGAATAATATAAATGTTAGGTGCTGTTATTATGCACTTTAAGTTTTGAACGTAGAAATGATAGCTAACATATCCCAGTTTTTGTAAATGTGTTGACTATGAGTTGTGCTAACTCTAACACAATCTCACCATTAATTACGGTTACAGTATTTCACTTGAATATTAACTAAAGTTACGGGCGTCTGGCTGACTGGATTAAAAAAGCTCAGAGTTTTCAAAAGACTTTGTACCTAATCTTGGAAATTTGAATTATTGCCAAATGTACCAACAACTATTTTTTGCAACGGCTGATATTAGAGCCGCCAAAATGCAGACATTTCCGTAATTTTACCGAATCACTCATTCTACTCTTATGCGACATAGAAACATTAAGCTTCTCTTACTTTATATGTAAATGATCATAAAACTTATTCTAATTTCACCGAATAATGCAATCACTGTAAATCAATCAAAGTCCGACAATGAAAAACATTCGCTGGATCAGAGTGAGATTTGGGGATATTAAGTGTTCAAGATTGCTTAATATTAACTAACATATTGTTAAAATTGCATTGTATGAGCTTGGGTAAAGAAAAGGTACAGTTATCATTCGCTTTTTATTTCTTAAGCGAGACTTCTATTTGGCCCGAGTGAAACCTTCTTGCCGTACGATTAGCATCTCTCGACATTCCATTACCGAAATGCGGAAATTTCGTTCGGTTCTTGATAAAATATCAAGTTAGCGACTGATGAAACCAATAGCATACAAAATTGATAGACGTTCGTGTCGACTCGATCCTTAAATAACGATCATCATTGCTAAGAAGATGATCCAATACTCGTTCAAATCCGGTTGGTGGGTGATTCGTTCGTCTAATTCGTCGTTGTTCGGCCAAAGGCTTATTGTGACTTCCCGATACGAGCATTAGACGTATGATTTAGAAGTACGAAAATAGAATCGTTTACGTAATAAAAGCGCCCTAATTGGTTAGTACGAAAATGTTATCGGGCCATTGAATTAATTTTATTACGTAAACGATATGGAAAGAGTTACAGGCATTAATTGTGGAAACACGTATGAAGAATGACATCTTTCTATTTAAACAATACGTACCGTTTAAACAAGAAAACATGAACAATTTGAGGGGAAATTACGATTTTTTAATATGCAAGTTTTCTGTTCTACCTATGAAAAATCTACACATATTTGGTTCTTTGACTGGGCATGACGCAAATGCATACTCAGACCAATCACGGTGATGAAATGATATGTGACGTAAGACAGTCGATGAAATATGGGAGTAGAGTTTAGTAACGATCGGATGCATTGGTTTTACGTTAATAGATTCAACACTATTGTCTATTAAGAAATGAGCAAACATACAGCTAAGCCATAATCGCTTCGGATATTAACAAATAAGAATATCTAGTCTGCTTATTATGTGTAAAGTTAGGTTTGTAGTCTACCGTGTGAAGCGAGACCATTCGCAGCTAAATTACATTTGTCGTTCTGGAGGAATCATCTTAAGCGAATCAATTCGTTTCGCGGGTAATCATAAATATCATTCATTCTTGCACTGTAAAAGTAAGTATCGTCGCTTGCCACTGGCCACAAAAACGAAGAAGCCAGGTTGGCGAGAGGATTGCTGTTAATTTTCCGGAGATGAAACACTGAAATGCGAAATGTAAGACTCTACAAAAAGGAATACGGCATTATTTCTGCTCTATGTACCATGATTGACTAACGTCACGCTTGTTAGCAACTACAAAAGATGTCGATCAATTAAAGCACAGTTCGATGGTTTCATTTCGATAATATAATAAATTGATTTTATGACAAAGCAGCAAACAACTGCAGTGACGCATCCTAAATACTGTACAATGACAATGGAAAGATGTGATTAACTATTGCGAAGTGGAAAGTACTACTTGAAAATGTCTATCTCTGTGGTAACGCTCCAAAAAATCAAAAACAAAATTCTGAAAACGTTTAATAAAATGTCCTGACTACAGGCAAAGAGCAGTTGTTGTTTTTCTGAAAAGATAAATTGTTGATCGCCAAACTTGTGAATAAAGACGTTCTAAATAAAAGTCAACCGCTTGGGATTATCTTATTACTTCGCACACAAATTAGAACCCTGAAGTCAAATCTAACGCAAAACCGAAAAATTACAATAGGCGTGCTATTCAGAAAGATTCCCTGGAATGGATAAACTGAAGACTAAAACACGGGATTAAACCCAAATGTTTTATTTATGAAAAAGATAAAAGTGCAGGCTATTAAAGAGACATGGGTCTCTTGTAAAGCTTGAATTGTACACTGGAGATGCGGGGGGGGGGGGGTACATTTCGAGAGCAATTCGTAAGAACTACAGACAGTGCCGGTTGAAAAGCACATTTGCAGGAGAAGCCAAAAACACCTCGATATTGTCAAGCTTAAGACAATACACATGTGTAAATCCACATGTTGTTCTCCGTCTTTCTTCTTTCTATGCCAAAACAAGAGATTCTGGCTTACATGCTATGCAACTTCTTTGCTTCGCCAAGAGAAGATGTTCCTCGTAAATAAACCCATTTCGAATGAGAGTCAGAGCCGTTTTTGGGAAATAACTTAGTACGAGATGTTCAAATAACTAAGTGATCTACACTCCCCTTTTCCAGAGTCTCGGATTGACAGATTCATAAGCGACCTAGAATATTCGGCATAAACAACGTTATTGGAATATAATGTACACGGCAATTATGTCATTATTAGTCAATATTGCTGCAGCAATGATTTCAAGTCGTTAAAAACATGGGCAATTTGCAGTCTAAATTTTTAATATATTCATAATCGGAGAGGGGCTGAGCGTTGCTATCGTTACACGTAGAAACAATTGAGCAGTTCACTTTCAAGGCAAACAAAAGTAACGAACATGTTGGGGATAGCAAGTGGCTTGGCTTATGCATTCTGGTCATGCGACATGATTGTAGTGGTTCGGATATCGAATCGCAGCAGTGTTTCTGAGCACCCATTGTTTGTTGCAGATGAAACCGGAACTCAAGCTATTTAAGTCAGGCAAGACAAGTAATAATAGCTGTCTTCATAGGTCACATATACAAGTTTTACTATCGTTAGAAGTCTTATGTAAATTAATAATATCATGGGCGTCAAGCGAGTAAGTTTCCTTAACGGCATAATAAGTCGTTGATATATGTGGTATCTTGTGTTTATTAATTGTAATATAGATTGCTATAAGATATTGTACAGATTTGCGTTAACTCCCAATCGCGTATATGTAATTAATCACGTGTCCGATCTTTCTATTGATGCAAAATTAAATTTCATTAACAGCCAAGTTTTTTTAAAGATAACAATTGGTGTATAAAGGCATAGCCACCGTAAAAGTAGTAATCGAGTACAGTTTTAAGCCTGCGGTATTAGTTCAATCTGGTAGAGCAGCCTTTTCAGACGAACGAGAGATCGACGCATGCATACTTTTAATAGTGACAATAAGGTATAATCCCGTTGTTATGTAAGCAGAAAAAAAAATTTTTTTTTAACGTGACCAATTTTGCACGGAACGGGAACGCACAATAACATCGAATTGTAAAAAAAGAAAAAAGAGGTTGATTGATTCGCTTGAGAAACTTTTGCGACGTTTTAATCTTAATTTAATTAAATCGTTCAGAAAGAATAATTGGAAATGTACATATTGTCATACCCGATGTGGCGTGATAATACATAGTTAGTAAGTTGTCAGACAATATAATTTCCCAGTGATCACAAAAATTGAATCGAGAAAACATATGCAATGTACTCAATGGGAGAACGTGTTCCCTAAAATCGAAACACCGTATAATTTAGTTTAATTGCGTTATGCAATCTCTGATTAAAGTTTTTCGAATCGGATTGTTACCTCCGTATGTTTATACTTTTATGAGAGATTTTCTTTTATTTTCTTACAATAGATATCGAAATGTCAATCAAACTCGAAGCGTGTGTCGACTGTTAGGTCTTTTGATTATTGTACTCATTTAGTTCTTACTTGTATCGGTTGGTGTCTCGTCATTGTCATTGATGACCGTTTACTTTCATGCTTAATATTATCTTACCTTGTGATTATATGATTGACTATGTAATCAAATGTGACGCGACAATCAATCTGACCTGCAAAAACGTTCGATTCTCGCACCGTAAATAAAATATTACATTATGTATTTGTGTTATTATTATAATACGTCAAGGTCTTTTCTATTGTAATCAATACTGATTCGTTGTTCATACTATGCAATTGTGTCATTATTGAGATGGTCATTTTATTAAAGCTTGATAAGCCCTCCGAATATGCAGGAGAAATACAAGGCGCACAGAGTGTCGGGACATAGTGGCCCTAGTTCGATATAGATATAAACTGATACAATAATAATTGGTGCTCCAGTAGAGTCTATCTTTTATTAAACTAGTTGGCGTTCTAAAATTCGACTGTTGGACAATCAGAACTTGTACTGCAATTATAGTTATAAATATGTGTAAATAATATTTATTCGTTTTTTATTTATACATATATATTCTGTCATTGATAATTGAGAAACCTTGTTTGCGTATAATTGGCATCAAATAATATCAATTATTATGTAAATGGCAACAATTACCATATAACGTTATGACAAGCTTTGTAGGTAATATATGGATTCTACAAAAGTACACTCCGAAGTATTTACAGCTAATGTATTCTGATACTAGAATACCCTTTTTTTTTTCTTCTCTTGTCAATGCACACAATTTAACCGTCTTTGAATGTTCCGTGGGTTTAGTTGACGTTTAAAACCGACGACAATCTTTATTCCTAACAAAGACATTTATATAATTACAAAACTTGTCTCTGACCTTGAATAACAATTTTTTGTCAAAAACTGACTCTACAAACCGTTTTTGTTTAAGACAAGCCATTACTCTGCATATATACTACACTCATATATTATTTGTTACGTGACTTTTTTTTTGGTTGTATTGTAACACAAGTAAGAGATTAGAATGCCTACAAATTATCTCGGATATATACAAATTTAGATAAAGATAGCTAGTCGGATGGTTTTATAATATCAGAATTTATCAGACAAATGATAGAACGCTTGTCGTTTTTGTTCACATCAAGGAGTTGATATGCATATATTGCAAAATCTTCATGTCCCAATGCGTTTGAAAACTCTAATTTTGATGTATGTCATGCTGGGCATTAGATCACTCGAATATATATATATATATATATATATATATATTTCACCAAGCAAAACAAACAAACAAACAAACAAACTTTTCTCTTGGAAATCGGGCCGAATGAGATGAGTTTTAATGACCAGGTTAATATAAATTGTGACCACCGGGTATATGTAATTACATGCATCACCACCATTTTTATCCGTGTCACCTCGTATGCAAATATGTTCGCGGGAGAAGGGCATGTTGTCGCACGGATTAGGTCATGGACCGTTCTCTCTATCATAACTTTTTCAATTTTTCCGAGATGATTTTTTTGAAAGACGTGCAAACCTTTTCCTCCTGCTCTTTCTTCTCGGGGATAATATTTGACGTTACCGGATTTGTTTCAAAAACAATTATCGAAAACCTGAATTTTAATTAAAGCTTCCGTGAATGATTACATTATTTTCCAATCGCTAACCGATAATTCAATACAAATACACTAAGGATTTATGTGTATTATAGCTTAATGATGCACACGGATACATAATGCTATGACGTTTAAACAATCCGCTGGAATTCCTCGCCATCGCAAGCGTATAATAAGACATGTATAAATAATAAAACAATGGTATTCGTCAGATCGATATTTGATAGTGCTACGCAGGACTGTTTGTAATCTGCTTACACGTCATAAAAAATATAATTTTTATTGTTCATTGTAATTGTCATTATCATTAGTTAAACTCGAGCAGTCAGATCTTCCGTCAAGCGCAGGGATTTTTTTTCCTATACAAGACGAATGATAAACTTAAGAATGTTTCAAATGTATACATGTATGTGTGTATATTACAAAGCGTCATTTACAATATCAAAAGTAGAATATTAATTATCCGGGTGATTGACAATTGCATGACTTTAATAAATTTTAATTAATAAGAATCAAATAGAATTAGATTGTTCCCAGAAACGTGCTCTTTTAATAATGCATTTAATATGCAAGCTGCTCCCCTTTTGTGCGTTCGAATACAGCTTTAATTCTCTGGAGAAAGATTTACTTCGATTGTCTAATGACGTTATTTACCTTTCAATACCCCACCATCTTCCCGATGGTTGCTCTCTCTTTGCTTGCCTAACTTTTCTCTCTAACTTATTCCATATATGCCTCATAGAAACCAAGTTAATGACAGGATGCTCATTCAATTAGCTCGCTCAATTTCGGATGCTCACGGGGAGAGGAGAGGATATAGTTTTCCGGTTAAAAGAAAATAGAGACTTTTCTTTTTTTTGCAGATAAGGTAAAATAAAGTTCTATCATACCGAATTCATAACATAAACCTTGTCCATCCTACACCATTGCCCCTGAAGAACCATTACAATTGGTAGTGCCGATCGATTGAATAGCGAAACATTTACTTATTTTGTCGGTCCTGTTATATAAGCCATCATTTTTATAGTAGCTGTTTCCTCCCCCCTTCTAGAAAGTCGATTATGGCAAGTAGCAAGTCGGAGCCCAATACATGATATCGTAGTACATCTCCTAAAAATACTGATATGGCCGTGGCTGCTGGGAAAATCTCACCCAAAGACTTGTCAAACGATCATTTCTTTAGGCGAACTGTGAGGTTTAGCAATCAAAGTTTCTTTTTTTAAAAAAACCTGGGTTTACTATAATAACCGTGTGACCGGGCTTATACGAAAATCACCTAAAAATTGTTCGGCTTTTATGACAATCACATAAAAACTGCTCGCTTTTATTGGTGGTAGGGCGATAGACTTTTGTTCGCTATAAGTTCATTTGCATGATCTTCTCACATTAACGTTCTGGTACTAGTATTGTTGCATGTCGGTCATTTCTTCTTGTTCTTTACTTCTTCTGAACATCAATATAGCACACTTGATCGTATCATTATGATATCATTGATAGCATCATATCTAATCATTATTCGACTCTTGCAAAGTAACGTGAGTTTGGGAACATGGACTATTCTATCCAGTCGCAATGAAACATTGTCATCCTGCCACCACTACCACCAACACGAACGCAACGAAAACGGATGGGTTGAGCCGAGAAAGAAGACAATTCAGCAATGCGACAATAATAACGATAGCAACTTGCTTCTTGTAGATGTTATAAACAAATATCATTGCACACGTGTAGTATGTATAAACGCCCGCGGGTTTAGTTCTACTATACGAGCAAAGATTTCCGAATATAACGTCTGTTTTGCAACAAAACTAAACACAAAAGGCAAAAAAGTATTACGTAGGTTTGGCTTCTTCATTATATACACTGCAGTACATTTATCAGGATTACTATTGACAAATGTTGCATGCTATTGTATGTACTTCTGACCACGTTGCTCATTGTGTTATTACTTACTACGTCAAGTATCATAACCAATATTTATAATATACAATATTATGTTACATACAGTACATAATGTATGTATGTGTGTATATGTATGTATGTTTATCAGTTGTAAACCGGATCAACATATTCATCCCCATCTGAATGACAAATACAATTCCACCTAGACGCACACACCAATTAATATAAATAAGGGCATTTCTCCTACTCTTTCATCTTACTTGTTATATACTTTTTCTTTTCCCCCATAACGGAAAATATTCATCCTCTTATGACCGGAAAGAAAAATAACCTCAGTTCATTAATTAAGCGTCCTTTATTCCTTACCTGTGTCGTGTGCAAATAATTATATTTATTTATTATTATTCGTATAACAACGTCGAGCTTTGATCACCGGGAATTCATAAAAACTGTATAGATCAAAAAAGAAAACAAGCATAATCAACGCTTACATGTCAAGAATGAGAGCTCCCTGGTCCGAGGAGGTAAAGAAATTAAGGGTTTTTGTAGGGGAAAAGAAAATTGACAGTAGTGATCGAGATATAAATAGCGCCAAGATTACGATAAAACCGTATAGAAATTAAACGATGAAAAAAACAAAGCTGATCTGCATAAGAGTGTTATAACATTTACTTACAGCTTAAATTGGGCTTTAGCGAGCACCTCGTTGTGAATAAAAGTTCCTCGCGATAGTTATAACATTTACTCAATGCAATACTCTTCTCTTGTAAACAGGAGGACGCGCGCTTGAGGGATCTGGTCCAGACTTATGGGCAAAAGTGGCAAAAAATCTCAACTATAATCAAAATGCGCGAAGCAAAGCAATGCAGGGAGAGGTAAACCTCTTTTTACCAGTTGGCATTATGAACGCTGGAATCGTGGTGTTAATTAAACTAATATCTGTGTGTATTTTGTATTGTTTTGCTCGTAATTGAAACAGATGGTCAAACCATCTACGACCCGACAGTAAGTTGAATTAATATTTTACTCTACCATAAATAGTATTGTGCATTCATACTCCCTACTTTGTTCCGGCTAATTTATTAACCCATCATTCTAATCCTTATAACACTTTCATATATTTTTTTTATTCGGGTCACTCAGTCGACAAATCTCCTCTAAAAGAATACGAAAAGCATAAAATTCGCATCTTACAACGTAAATTTGGCTGTAAATGGACTGAAATTGCGGCCCAAATTCCTGGACGAACTGGTCTTATGGTGAAAAACTATTGGTACAATGAAGAAAAGAGAGCCAAGCACCAAATGAGGAACAAGATGGCTATCAGCAGACTGCTTCTGTCGCCTAATGAGATAGAAGAGCAGGTGAGCAATTGAATAGAATGGCACGAGGCAAGGAACATTCGAAATCGGTTTCCCGGCACAGTGAGCTTGCTCTCCGGCATTACCCGATTTAAAAACGATGAACCATTGCTGTTGCTATTCTTTCATGGTGCGGTTTTCAATCATTTTGTTACACAAATCTCGTGTTCTCACAATCTTTTTTAATATCCCCTTATACAGACATCATACGAACCATTTGATTATGTATAATCAACAAGATGTTTGCTAAACCACGTTATCACAATCTGTCAGAAATTGAATACCTGTACATTTATTTTCTCTTACTCTTATGTCTGCCCTCTTATTTATATATGCGTTCTCGATAGTCCGAGAAACACATGCGTAATATACGGAAATATGACCAACTTATGGTAAACGAAGACTCGATTATATGCTAGTAATACTACAAATTAAGATTATTTTTTTTTTTCAAAAGAAGCAAAACGATTAATCCAATATTGGCATCTCCAATTTTACAGCAACTCCTCACCTTTTATACGTATAAATTATGATTAAGCAATCCTTTATTATCTTCTTCTTTTTCTATTTTTTCCGCCCCCCCGAAACTCACCCTCATTACTTATGATTTATTCTATGATTTCCCTTTAAATACTGCAAATGAATAAAGTTTAAGTTTAATGGTATGCTCTGATACCGAATAACCAATACAAGAATATCTAATTCAAATGTCCATCATCTGTTATTATCATAATTACGTTCGCTATTTATTGTCCTCTCGGACCAGTTATGTTCTCATACAACAAAACCGGAATAATATTGGAGGGACATACATAATTTAGCTCCGCATTTTCATTAATGCCGATAGTGTTTGGACATGTGTTTATGCGGGGAAGCACGAACGGACATTACCTAACAAAGTCGGTGATTGTGAAAATTACTCTAATAGTATTGGTGGATGTTGATTACGTGAGAAGAGGTTACTACAAGGATTAGCTGGCAAATACGCACGATGACGTTGTTGATTATAATTAATTTGGTAGAATTAAAGTCAATTCGCATGCGGTAGAGAATCATCTTTCTTATTTTGATATATGAAAACGAGGCGACAATTTGCAAATAACAATCTTATTAGTTATGTGATAAACACCCTGCATTATCGTCTATCTTCCATTCATGGCTTTCCCTTTTGTGTTTAGTAACGCATGACACCCAACAATAAAACCGTTAGCGTTTAAAAGCCTTTTCATTTCTTGAAATAGTTATTTCACAATGAACTTTATTAGGGCAATTGTTGTCTTTGTTTTCCTGGAAAGACACATGATTGGCTCAAATTACTCAAATAATGCTTACCCAATGAAAATCGTCATCAAGATGTAAATGAAAAAAAACTTTTCTCGTATTAACATTACCAACAAGACGGTCGTTCCGCTTATCTTCTATCAATTCTTTTACTACTTCTGACTAGTACACATGTAGTTATCAATTTTTGTGTAATTAATATCGAAAGAACGTTAATCACAAAATAATATTAATAGAATAGTATGAAAAATTAAGGTTTCTCTTCCTGATCTGTTATATCATTTTCGGCTTTAACCTCGACTTTAGCTGTGTGCGCCACACCAACATAACAATTTAATTGTAGTTTATAAATTGGACTTTTAAACATCCATATTTTCAGTCCCGCACCATAATGCAGTATATGACTCATTTAATTCATTGGGTGGGTCGATCATCGGAAGGGACCAATTGCGACATGTGATACAAATTCATTGAAAAAATGTTGCTTCTGAGGTTACCGTACTTGTCACTGGCTTATTATTATTATTAATAAAGTGCAGAAGGGTCGAGATTATTGTCGGGACATTTCTTGAACGGTAAAGTTCGAGGAATAAAAACCTGTCATATTTAAGCCGTCACATACACTTCCGGGAGCTCCCGTGTTAATTATAATGCTTTTGAAGCATAGAAATGGAAATATTGGCGGTTCGGCTTTCTAAAACCAGACAATAAATCGCACAACCGGTACGGACTTTTTTATCATCCATGTTTATAACCAACATTTTACGTGCATACTAGTTTGGGTTTACATCAACGTCCGCGTGGACGGTAATGTTTAATTCGTTTTTCGTTACGGAAGAAAAAAAAGTGATAAATTTTAACCGCTTTATAATTAAAACTATATTGGCTGTTCCATGACGGCGAGAGTGTCGGCATATTGACAGACATATTTGCGAAAAATTTTCTTTATAAAAAGCTTAATACCAGGTTTATGTTTATAATATTGTTTCAGTAAAAAGGTGCAATCGCAAAACTTGTACATATTATTGAAAAGTGCAGGTGATACTACTGATCTCACCATCAATCAAGGCTGAAAGCCTTTTTAACTAAGAAAATTGTTA